GAGTATACCAACACAGACCAGATGAAGGATATAGATGATCGATTGGCGATGGCAATTAGTAAAGTTACACCACGCGATTACGTTGGCTATATTGACCACTCGATCGAATACTTTGACCGCTGCCTTGCTCGTGAGGACAACCTCTAAATTCAAAACCGATACTACCCCTTTTCCCTTTTTTATATCTCTGTTTGTAGATTTTCTTGATTAATTTTCACTACACTTCCAAAATCAATCAATCGTTTTTTCTTTTATAAAGTATATATTCATAGAGACATATATTCAATGCATGGGGAAGTACTAGCATAAAAGGTTACGGGCTTGAAGAAAAAGAAAGTATAAAGGGAAGCGGGCAAAGAGATACATAAATAATAGAAGAAGGCATAGTGAACAAGTCAGAGGAAAAATGAAAGCATAGAGCATAGTGAAGAAAAAAATTTGAGCATAAAGACCAAGAAAGACAACGACGAAGAGATGGATACAGTATATAAAGAACGGAGACAAATAATGGAGGCAGAAGAGGGATTATAGACAGAATGAATGGAGAAAAGGAATGTAATGACGGTTTTTAAAGGCTGCAAATGCTGCAGTCGCAAACCAAGCTCTTACCGCGGATGATGGTGTTGAGATCGATTGCTTGCGTATCCCTAATGGCACGCTCCAATCGGCGGAAGATGTAGTCATTGGGGTCATCCACATTGGTCTTGTGCCGCTTACACCGTAGCTCTACTGTTGAAAAAAACCACTCAACAGGATTAAGTGATTCGTTCATATCAGAGCATCGTGGCAAGAAGATAGCCCTGGAGCCACCTGCTTCGACAACCTGAGATATCATCTTTCTGGTCTCGCGTGAAGCATTATCAAAGACGATGTCCCATCCTTGAAGTTCTGTGCTCGCCATTTTAGCTAGCAACGTGCGAACAAACTTCTTTACGTCGTCGTCTTCCGTCTTTCTAAGCTTCTGGTAGTCTTCGTAGACAACTTGTTTGTGCGTCATGGCAACCAGGTAAGATAGCCGTGTTGCTATCGGCAGTTCCGATTTTACTCGCTGCTTGATCTGCAGATTAGCACCCTGCTTTTTGGCAGCTCTGCTTCTTGCTTTGACTTCATCGCCATACTTGCGATTTGTGTCGACATCGTAGGCTGCCTCACCAACAAAAACACACTTAAGCGGATCGACGCCTGCTACAGCAAGAGAGTGTACGATCTCAGATCGAAGATGATTTGCATCCTCTTGCTGCTTTGGCCACGTTTGATGGCGTCTCAAGGTGATACGGAAATTTTTCTGCAAATGCTCCTTCATCACATGCCGAGGAACTTGCTCGCCAAAGGTCTCCTGGAGTTTTTCATACACCTGTTCATGTGATGCAATGCTGTTCACATCCGCATATTTGCAAATATGCCTATTCATTTCTTCGGTAAAATGAACCTTCGCCTTAGGACCTCTCTTCTTTTTCACCAAGTTATCGAGGGCATTTGAGCGGCCACTTAAGGTGCTCAACTTGATGTTGTTGTCAGCAGCAGCTTGCTTCATTGATTTTCCTGCAAGCATGTCTCCCAAAGCTTGCTCAATCTGGGCTTTTGTGGGAGGGTTGTATGGCCCCCTTTTCTTATTAACATTGTTGTCTTGCTGCTGGGAAATTCTACGAGAGCTGCTGCTACTGCCACTAGCATCAGCGGACTCTCCAGGCTCAGGTCGGGTGGTTGAAGGGCCCTCCTCACCACTGGCACTCATATCAAAATCACCCTCCCAATCTAGTCGGTGATCTCTGGGGCGCTCTGTGTAGATCAATAAACTATATGTTAAGAGCTAGGATATTTACTCTTCCTGTTTGCCTTATTACCCTCAACATGCGATGCGTTTCGAGTTTCCTCCTGATTGGCCTCTACGCGCGCACCAGATATAGTGCTCGCTTCGTCAGATTGTTCGCCTTTTGAAATAACGTCATATAGAAGTAGTGTAAGGATACGAAGTGCTTTTACTGTACATTGCAAGTATAAGTATTACATACCTCCTTCACCTAGATTGTCTTGCAAAGACAATTGGCTTGCAGAACGTGTAAGAGCTGCAACTGGGCCACCAGCAGACATACCCAAAAGACTACTAGCAGCTGCTATTTCCGAGCCTGTGCGGTTGATAGTTCAAGCACGCTTTTGCTGATGAATGTCAACATCCATAGAAGAAGTTAAAGAGGAGCGGGACAGAGTACGTTTGTTAGATAGCATTTTTGAGAAGAAAGAGGAAAAGAGAGGAAGATTCGTAATATCCTCGTACTACCATTTTAATGCGACTTGTTTGAGAAACATGTCCCACAATGATATCCCGTCTTTAAATACAGGATTTTTCCTATGATTTGGCGCTTGACTTTTTTCAACTTGGCGCTAAGGTTTTTTTCATTTTGGCGTTAAAGTTATTATCAATTTGGCGCATGACAAATTACAATTTTGCGTCTTAGTTATTTATTTTAGCATACTGATAATATCATAATGGCGCATAGTGAATTATTATTTGGCAGCTAACAACTTACATCTAATTCTATAATACCTCGTTTAGCTACAGTTTCTTGAACCAAATTTGTGTGATGAATCCTTGCATCCTTCCGCCAAAATTTTTTTTAAGAATCACAAAGAGGTGATTTTATTGATGGCCATTGAAATTATGATGTAACAAAGTCCTTCCGCCAAAATGATAGTCCCCCAACCGCAATTAAAAAAAACTCAGACGCCAAGCCACAAAGATAACAAAGCTGAAAAATTAAAAGCGACACCTTTTTTCTCTTTCTTTCTTTTCTTTCTTTTCTTTCTTCTTTTCTCTTTATTGCCTTCGTGGCTTTTTGTTGCCTACGCGGCTTATTGTTGCCTTCGCGGCTTCACTTTTTTTTATAAACAAAGAAAATGAAAAAAAAAATCCCTGAACCGCTACAAACTTTTAGTTTGTTCGTTTTTCTTCTGCCTTGCATCTTATTGATTAATTGTATGATGTCAATCTGCGAATTTTCATTTTTTTTAAAAATAACATCAAGGTGGAAACTCTAATTGAAAACGGGTCACTTAATGAGGCACGCTCAGTCTATTCTAATCGGGACACTCAACCTCAGGATAGCTACATCAACATCATACCAGAATGAGGTACACAAAAAGTGACGTAACAGCCTAGTATTATATGAACAATAAAAATGGACAAGATTATCTGGAGATTTTAATAAAGTTATCCCTTTTACAATGATATTTACAATACATTTTCTCTTCTATGGATGATGTGAGCTGGGTTGATTATTCTATGATATAGATGAGTGATAGTAGAGTCGCGTACTTCGGATTAGAACATTATTAAGATTATATCTTGGGCTTGACCAAGATTCTCGCTTTATTACGCAAATTGTTTAATCCCTTTTTTTACCATGGAAACCTGGGGATTACCACATGGCTATAGAGTCAGTCTTTTGTGTAATCTGGGAGAAAAAGATAATGCAACAATATGGATACGAACATATCCATGGAGGTAATCCATACAAACGGTATGACAAAAAAAAAAGTTCACAATTCGCTCGTAAGGTCGAGTGCAATTTTTTTTGTTCTTGTATATTGCTTTACATTTTTTTTTATAAATATATATATCATTTCGTTCAACCTTATTATATCATTATATAATCTTCTTTAACGAAAAGTATATTCAGCTAATGCATACTGATGTTTCAATTATAACACATAACGAAATTTGTGTATAGAAACAATTCTTCAAACCTAAATTCTGTTTGTGGGCAGAATAATTTTCACATCTAAGCAGCTTTTTTTGTTACTGTCCAAAGGAATACTTATAAAGAGACAATGACTTTTTGGTTAATCATCACAACAACAAAAAAAAGGACCAAGCGCAAAACAAAATATCACACATACACAAAGAAAATACCCTCAATTGCATATCCTGAAAAGTTCTTCACATACAAAAAGCATACTTGTACATATCCGAAAATAAAAAAAAATTGCATTGATCTATAAACGGGATTGTTGTTCCAAAACAGTAACTGTGCGTTCCCATCGATTAATGTTTCAGCCCCTACCAAAAAGTGTTTATCTTTTGCGGCCAGGTTGGCTCGTTCCCCCTCCTTCCATGTCTTACCATCTGTGCCGAAACCATATTTATATTTTATCTAGACACACGCACACAATAGAGATAAAGAGTTAGCAAACAGAAAAAAAGAAGTTGTGTAGTTAAGTAGCACCCTAGCATATATACTAAACCAAGGCTAAACCCAAAACGGTCTGATTTAACTCAGACGAGGCAGCGCTTGCCCATATAACTTTCGCATAATTTGTCCATTATTAAAGCATCGATGTTGATTATGCTGAAATTGTCTATAGTAACTTTTCTTTTACACTGATTAATTAATGTTGTAGTCCATTCTCCGGGTAAAAAGCATTTTCTTTTGCTACCAAGTAATAGGGTTGTAAATAATATTAATATGCGGTATACGATAACAACAATATATTATATGTGTATTTATATAGCGGTACAATATAGAAGCGGTTAAAAGACTCTTTATTTGTTAATAATAGTAACAACGTACTATACTACTTAAACTGATGCAAATAGATTTGTTCCAGTTTTGTTCGACCAACGACAAAAAAAGAACTGGTACTAATTGCTAATTATAATATAATAAAATATTCTTTTAATCTCTCATGATTCTTTTTTTATTATTGAAAGAAAAATCCAATTACACTTTTTTTTATTCTTGTTTGTCAGTTCCAATTACAATTGCGCTACAAAAAAAAAAGGAAGTAAGATGATGTAAATATCAAGTTTGACTATCCCACTTACATTTTTAACATTGATATAAAACAATCTGTTACCGTGTCACCATGTTTTTTTATTTTTGCAAAGTTTCGAACTGTTTTGCCAATGAGATTGTCTTTTGTCGTTTTTCAGCATAGAATTTTTCGAGGTTAGAAAAATCGTTGGCAAGTCGTTTCAAGCTTGTAGCCACATTGTTGTGAAGATGATTAAGGGTAAGACTGTCATCATCGATATTTTCGTCTTCAGATGTATCTTCGTCGTGTTCCTTTCCGTTGCGATGTTTATGTAGTGGTACAAGCGTTGATGAAATGAATGCTGATACTGATACATCTGTTTGAATTGGAGACAAGGATGAGGGTGTCGATGGTATTTCATTTGATGAAGAAGTTAATGGTGGATGGGTTGGTGGTACTTCAGGTGTCATTGAAGAAGTTGATGGTGGATCCGGTGGTGGTGGTATTTCATTTGATGAAGTAGAAGTTGGTGGTGGATCTGGTGGTGGTATTTCATTTGATGAAGTAGAAGTTGGTGGTGGATCTGGTGGTGGTATTTCATTTGATGATGAAGAAGTTGATAGTGGATCCGGTGGTGGTGGTATTTCATTTGATGAAGAAGTTGTTGATGGTGGATCCGGTGGTGGTGGTATTTCATTTGATGAAGAAGAGGTTGATGGTGGATCTGGTGGTGGTGTATTTCATTTGATGAAGAAGAAGTTGATGGTGGATCCGGTGGTGGTGGTGGTATTTCATTTGATGAAGAAGAGGTTGATGGTGGATCTGGTGGTGGTGGTATTTCATTTGATGAAGAAGAAGTTGATGGTGGATCTGGTGGTGGTGGTATTTCATTTGATGAAGAAGATGTTGATGGTGGATCTGGTGGTGGTGGTATTTCATTTGATGAAGAAGAAGTTGATAGTGGATCCGGTGGTGGTGGTATTTCATTTGATGAAGTAGAAGTTGGTGGTGGATCTGGTGGTGGTATTTCATTTGATGAAGAAGTTGTTGATGGTGGATCCGGTGGTGGTGGTATTTCATTTGATGAAGAAGAGGTTGATGGTGGATCTGGTGGTGGTGGTATTTCATTTGATGAAGAAAAAGTTGATGGTGGATCTACTGACAATGATTCTGTTGGTACTTTATACTGAACAGATTGGCCGTTTGAATATTGGGCAGGGGCAATTTTCACTTGTAAAAAACCAAACAATTGATCGCCTTGATGGGCATGGAAAAACTTGCCGGCATCTGCTTCAGATTTAAAGTGAAGGTAGGCATATCTATTTAAAAACAGACATAAGTCGCTGAACTATAGTTGTAGTACAATTTACCATTTATTACCTGTCCATTGGCTTTTTTCCAACATGTATCATGTTATGCAAATTTTGAAGACTAGAATCAAGAGTGCGATATAGATTTTGACGGCTCATATTTTTTAGTTGCTCACCAACGATCTTTACTTGAAATGAAGGGCGATAGCAGCCTTTGCACACTCTTGACATTTGAATGGTTCTTTAATAATTGTGTGAAAGAGATCGAAATCTTAGGAAGAAAAAAATTTTAGAGTCATGCAAAGTCACCAAAAATGCAGTAGCAATATTACAGCTCCCACTTGTAATTTGTCATGCGCCAAATTGATAATATAGCTCTAACGCCAAAATGAAAAAAAGCGTCGCGCCAAGTTGAAAAAAATCAAGCGCCAAATCATAAGAAAAATCCTGTACACTCGTCGTGGGCGTCAAACGGCGTGGACTTATCATCACTTAACTCAGTTGCGAAATACTTGCTTTCCAGTTACGAATGCGAGATGCCGAATGCGAACAATGCTATTTCTCCTGTACGAACTTTGATTTTCTTCAGTGCGAATAATTAGTTAGCACCATAGCGAACTACTGCTTGCCCCATGCGAAAAATAGGCACTTCCATAAACGAACATTCGTACACCCGAGAACGAAAATATAGTTGCTCAGTAACGAACATCTTCTTGCCCACTACGAAAAAAAAATATTCCCACTTGCGAAGTTCGGGTAACCCAGATACGAACAAGCTGTTGCCCAGATACGAAAAATAGCCAGCCCGTAAACGGAACCGATTCCGAAACACTTTTCGCCCGTTTACGAAAGCTGTTGTCCCACAAACTAAAAGCTTGTCCCACAAACCAAAAACCACCCACCCCTATACGAAAAATCTGCCACCCATATACCAAAAAATGCTCCTCCTGCATACCAAAAATATCCTCCAAAGTACGAAGAAATAGAAGGCCGGCATTGGTATCGAATGCAAAATCCTGTATGCTTCGACAATAATTCAAGAATAACGGTTACTAGATATATATTGAATCTTCTTTTAACTATTATACCATCATTGTTAACAAGATAATTATATAATCTGATTTACTTGGTACAGTGGTAAAAAAACCAGCTATGCATCAGCATTACGAAAAAAATCAACCATCAATAGAATTCAAAAAAAAACAACTAAACAGATCGAATTGAAGCACCTAGGGCGTCCTACTATTAGTTGTCTAACCAATTATAATCTACTAGCTGTAATATAGATAATAAAATTGCTATGATCAGTATAACCATCAGTGGCCGAATTAATTATTGATTTACAATAAAAAGAATTTTTTATTTTTATTGGTAGCCTCCTACAAGAAAAAAAAGAGCGATTGTTTAAAGCACATAACAACAAATAAAAATGAACACAACACAACACACTAAACAACTCGATATTGAAATTAAAAATTTATTTGATAATAAATGGACTTTTCTTGATAAATCTTAGCCTGAAATGCAACATAGATTTAATCATAGAGAGAACAGCTATTAAAGATATGAAGAATAATACAATAAATGATATAAAGGATGTATTACTTAATAGATTTGGATTTATACCTGTATTTTATTTTCTTACAGTTTTATATGGAAATATTGAATATCCAGGGCCATACCGCGAGATTGAAAAAGGACTTGCATTATTATATCATATGGTATCAGGTGTATCAGGAAAGGATATGCATACTGTTATGCCGTATGCAACATTTTATGATTTATATAAGCGGTTCTGGATTACTAACTATAATGAATTGAATAAAAAGGTAAAACAAGATCTAGATAGTATGTTCTCATCACCACGTATTCGCATTCTATCAGCAATAATAAACAATCCAGATGGTTTTAAGAATGTTACACTATTTATTGATGGACATGATAGTAAAATAAAGTATTATAAACCAAATGAGTCACATTCACAATTATATTCATATAAATTAAAAGGGCCAGCTGTACGTACACAAGTTATATAGGATATGAATGAAATAATTACACATGTTTCAGTATCTGAAAAATGTGCTATTGGAAATGATGGTACTATGTTTATTAATATGAAACTATATAAAAAAATAAGTGAGGCTGATTGTTTAGGAATGGATGGTGGATATAATTTATTTATACAAAAGTTTAAAGATAATGCGACAGATGCTAGATATAGTTTTTATGATCGTAATTTTTTACATCCCATAAGAAAAGAACCAGGACAAAAGTTAACAATCAATGAGACATACTTTAATAACAAGTTTGGATCATTTCGTTCAGCAATAGAAGCACAGTTTTCTATGTTAGGCTCTAAATTTGAACGATTTAATAATAATCGTGCAGCATTGCAAATATCTGATATAAGATATTATAATATTCAGTTTCGTGTTGCTTGTATTCTTACTAATATATGGCGATTTGTAAATACTGTAAGTATAATATAGAGGTACAACCACGTCATAAATTATGGTATGGAAAAGATTTTGAATTCCCAAGTAAGAAAAACAAACTTGACTTAGTATTTTCAAATGAGCAAAAAGTAAATACTGAATATAACGAAATGGTTGACATGCAGCAGAAATTTCTACAGCTTAACATTAATCAATTAATAGATATGGCTATAGATAGTGAGGACGAAACTGAAAATAATACATCTAAACACAAGAGAAAAAATCAAAGAGAACAGAGAAATATAGAATATAGTAGCTCATATGAAATTGAGAAGATTGTAGGACATGTGTATACTGATAATAAGTACATATCTGAGGTTAAGTGGGTTGGATATAGTATAAAGGATAATAGTTGGTTAACAGTTGATAAGTTTAATTCCCGGAAAATGCTACATGAATATATGGCCACACATGGTATTCAGCTCTAAATTAATTTCTTACTTATTTGCTTATTAAAAAATCTCATATTGAAACTGACTGTATCAACCTTTCGTTTACTTGCCCAATTATATTTATGTTTTATGCATTCATTAGTTATACTTGTACTTATATTAGTATCTGTTGATTTATTTTTGACGTCAGTTTCTTTTGTTATATCTATATCATCTATTATAGCCTGTTTTATATCCTTATGCTTTTTAAAATATTCTTTTGGCTGTATTTCTTCTACTATTTGCTTGTTTCTCCATTTATTTTTAATGTGCCTTTTTTTCTTTTTACGTTTTGGTATATTATTTGGTATGTTGCAGTCACTGCTTTTCTCTGATTCAGATGTACTTACATATATATATTTATGTTTCTCTATATCTTCTGGTGGGTTTTCCCAATCAGTAGTATCATTTACAACATCATCACATTTTATATCATTAAACACATCTTCCCAATGCCTACAATCTACTGATGATGGTACCTTTACAGTTGACCATCCTCTATTATTTTGTTGAGGCGGTTTATGTTGTTTATTGTTCTGTGTATTATTACTATTATGTTTTTCTTCTTGTTCCTTCATATATTCTTCTGTGTCAGCTAATTCTTGTAGTTCCTCTACTGTTTTATCCATCAGTATATATTTTCTAATATCATCCTGACCACTATTATGTGCATAACAGATAAATGTATGCTGATCTTGGTATTCGTTTTCGAATTCATCTTTGTATAAGTCCTCATACATATCCATGTTTTCATAATATATGAATTTATTTTCATAATCCTTCACCTTCATTGTGTATGGATTCCATATTATATGACCTTTACGGTTCTTATCAACATAGATAATATATAAACGATTGAGCGTTGGCTCTAACTCATATACTGATTTATCTTTGTATAACATGTGCGCCATATAGTTACTATTCAGTATTATTGGCATATTTTTCTTTTTAGTTATTGACTTTGTGAATTTGCTATTAAGTTTTAACCGTGTTCCTTCTAACATTTGGTTTAAAAATGTTAACTTGAAATCAGAACCTGTTTCTTCCTTATACATAAAATCATAATCATCATCCTTATAATCTGACCAATCATTTTCTTTATTCATTAGATATGCTCGATGGCCACCTTGTTCTAATACATCAATGTTATATGTCTTACCTACATTTGATGGACCTACAATCCAGTATTGTGGTATCTTATTTTTACCACCAAACATTGTTTCAATACCAAACATAGACCACATATGTAATTTATTTCCAGGGTTATTTTCCATATCTGCATCATGAAAGTAAGAATTTAAATTTGATTTTACAGTATCATATTTCCATAGCAATTCTGGATATATTTCGGTAGCCTTCCACATATTAAGCTGCTTAGTAATTAATTGATATCTAAGTAACTGTTGGTGCATTTTTCTGGTTTTAATTTCATAATTTGGATCCATATTATAACAAATATAATCTTTTCCTTTCATACAATAGCTAATAGACTTTTGTGGATTACCACCTGGTTTAATATTTGGAGTAACACCATCAATAGTAAAGAATTTACGTGCTGTTTTTGTGTCGAACTGCTCAGCCATTTGTATCTATATGTGTACATGTTTCTCATTGGTTTCTGGTGCAATTTCATCATATGCAATTGCCTTTTCAATTCGATAACCAATACGTTCATGTTTTATAAACCATTCCATGATTTGTTCTTTTGTTAAATAGAAGTCCTTACAAATATATGTGAACAGCCCTTTAGTGTTTTGGAATCGGAATTCTTTGCCGCCCTGCGAGGAATCTGCACCAGAGGTGTTACCCTCTAACATTGCATCGGAAAATTGAGGATTTGAGGATTTGATGAATCTCACATATGCTCGAATTCTTCCAATGATTTTATTGCGTGCATTATCTTTAGTTTTTTTATCTACTATAGCCTGTGTAAGGTCTTTTTCGAGTTCTGACC